AGAACCACCAGACCAATTTTAATATCCTTTTAGTATTAAATACATTTTTATGAGCTCTACAACTTTTGTTAGAAGCCAAAAAGTGATTTACTTAGTATAAAAAAAAGTTTTAGATAGAGACGCTGTGCTTTCGCACTTATAGTAAAATTTATATATAAAAAAAAATTTTTTTGTTCAAATGACTGGTGAATTACCTATTAATTGTATTTTTCAAGAGGTTAGATAGAAGCTGTTTTTCAACTTCTTTATAAAGTTTTTTCTAAAATCTATACTCTTTATTAGTTTTCATATACTTAGCTAATCTTTTCTTAAGCTTTTTTTTAAAAGCAAAATAATATATAATAATTTCTTGATTCACACTTTTAACTCATTCTTCAGCCTTAACAATTACATTGTATAAATTGAAAAATTACTTAAGCTCGTAATAGATTCAGCTTGAGAAGTAGTACTATTTGTTAAAGAACTTGAAAATTTTTAGCTTTTCAATAAGTTTTTTTAATATAGATAAATTTTCATTTTTAGTTTTTACTTTCTTACTAGACAATTTATTTTTAGAAGTATCTTCACTAGGTCTTTTATGAGATTTTTTTTCTGGAAGAATAATGCTTTGGTTTGTTGAATGATTACCTTTATTGTCTTCATTATCATTTATATTTGATATATTTTTTTTTAGAATTTCTAGTATATCTTGAGATTGGATACTATGTTTTTTTATTCTTCTAACTACTAATAATGTATTTGATTCAAAACCTCTTTTATACCCTGTTTCAATAATTTCAACCTCCTCACTACAATCAGAAAATAGACATGTATTTGGAATTGTAAATAAAAGTTTTTTTCAATACAAAGTCTATAAAATATATATCTACAAAATAGTGTTGTAAATGCCTTAAGAAGATACAAATAATTTTTTTTTTCATATTTTAAACAATTATTTAGATTTGTAATTATTTTACTTTTAACAATACTTCTTTAGAGATTTTAAAATACTATATACAAGATTTTTGATATTATTAATAAGTGTATATAATCATCAAAAATATATTCGAACTCTCCCCGATGATTACTCATACCAAAATTTTAACTAACGAAAAACAAAACTTTTGTTGGAGAGACATGGCTCTACGGTGCGGTTTGTCTAAAAGTCAATCTTTGCCTATTAGGGGACTCCTTTAAAGGACGTTCAGCATGCAAGCCAGGAGCATTTTATACAAGATAACTGGCAGGGAGTTGCCACTCAGGTGCCCTTGTATGAAAAATCTTGGTGAAGGGAGTAAATTACATAGTAGGCTGCTACTTTATCGACAAAGCTCTAGGCCGTTACTTCGAAGAAGAACACAGGGGAAACAACAAAAGTTTTGGATTTTAACACACTCTTTAGAAGTTTTGAAAGTATCTGCAACCAAAGACCTTCTACCATATTTTTGCTATTTTGGAAATTTTTTTGAAATTTTGGCCAAAAAGTGGGAAAACTGGCATACCCCCTCCAAAAGATCAGCAGTGTTTACTCCTTCCAAATTAGGACGTGTCTACCGAAATGAACCTCCCACAAGCTTATTTAGATTATGCTTTGCCAAATAAACAATGATGGCGGTACTGTTTACAGTATAGAGGATCGGAGGAATCATGTGTAAAAATTTCTTAATGTTAGATGTTTTCTTTTATTTTCTTTTTTACTTCTTTTATTACATATAGTGTTAGATTAGATTTTATTCTATACAACATTATATAATTTATGTAGCCTTGCATAGGCAAAAATAGTGCCATCATGGCCATCTTTTTTTCCGGCCTTTTTCTCTTTTTCTTTCTTTTTCTTTTTTTGTTTGTTTTTTGTTTTCGTTTAGTTTAGATTTTCTCCCTTTTTACTATTCATTTTATTTCGTAAATTTCCCATTGTTCTTTGGTAGAATTCTTTTATCTAGGAGGCTAGAAGAAGAAGGTTGAAAAAGAAGGCGGTCATGACGGGCTAATGAACCAGGTTGATGAACTGGGTGGGTCGGCTTGATGTAGGTTGAACAAACCCGGGGAGATTAAAATCATTTTTGGCAGGTCGCACACAGGTACATGAATATTTAAGTATTTTATATAAGTAACCAGGTGAGTTACATACCCATATCTTCAGATGTATTCTTTTTTATTCAGATTTAATTAATGATTAATAAAGCATGGGCATGTAGCATGATCGCTAAAAAAATAAAAAATAAAAAAAAATAAGTATATAATACAGAAGTAGAAGTAGTAAACATATTTCAATTTTAACCAGATAAGTTTTATATAATGAAATCTCTTATACTTTGCTTATTTATATAGTTTATTCTTTACAACTAACAAACCTAATTTGCAGATTTAAAAAAGCTAATTTTAGATTTGGTGATCTATTTATTTATAAATTATTTAGTATAAACTAAAGACTATTTGATTTATTAACAATTGTAAATGATTAGTAAAGATAAGAGAAATATACACTTTATAGATTTTTATTTCTATTTGTATTAAAAAATCTTCCAAGTTATCTCAAATTTTCAAGTTTATTAGTATTTAGATAATACTAATCTTGAGTATGTTTTACAAATATTTTATAGGTCAATAAAGCTATTTAATTACTGCATACTAGATTATTTTAGCCAAATTTATTTATTTTTGTCATTGTGATAAAATTTACTAAAACTATCAAGCTTTAGCAACTTTAAAATCACAAGTATCAAGTGAACTATCTTTTATTTAAAGAGAATAATAAAAAAAAAGAAAAATAAACAATTTGTATAATGGAATTTAAATTTAATAGC